AGAATATATCCAGATTTAGGATTCATCATGGTGAGTCAATTTCTTAGAGAGATTATCATCTGACAAAACATGGCTCTTAACAAAAAAGAAAAATATAGAGTCAAAGATCTTCCTTGTATTGGAATTGTTAAACCTTATAATTTCTCAAAGAATTTTTGCAACCTGTTGGCTGGGTTCACACCCATGTTTCGGAAAAATGTTACTGGCAAGTTGTCCCTCACTGAATTATGTGAAATTGGGCAATTGGATTAATTTAATAAACTATTGATAGGGTAACCATAGTTTAACATGTTGTGCAGATACAGTAATTATTTTCTAAATTATATATGTGTGTTTTCTAAATTATATATGTGTGTGCATGCATATGTATAAAATCTCTTTTCAGGCTGATTTGAAACCACATGGTCCACAACATTGGGGTTTGTTTTCTTCTCCTTCTAGATACTCAGCAAAACTTGGAGAACAAATGGCAGATCTTCACCTTTGCAATAAAGAAAATGGGGAAAAACTAAGAAAAAAAGAACAAACAATTGGTACAGTATAGTTGTTATGAACTAGGTTACTTATAATTAACAGGTTTTGAACACAACTTTAGATGGAAGCCGATGTAATTATTAGAATTCATGATACTAAAGATATTGAAATATATAAGCAATTAATATGCCTCCCTTTCCTTTTTTGTATAAACAATTATTCTTTATAATATTGCTATTTGCTTCTGTTCTATCAGAAAATGGACATTATTATTGATTCTGAAAAAGTATATATGCAAAGAAAATCTGGATGCCCAATCAGGCATACATCCAATGTATTTTATAGTATTTAGCTCCGAGAATTTCAGTTCTTGCACTGTATGGATAGTTCTCACTTATCAGTAAAGGAGAATATTTGTAGCTCAGAATTGAAATGAGGGGTCCATGGTGCTCTCTGAGCTGGATTGTTTTCTTGCAGATGTTTCATTACCCAAACTACATATTATCAACAGTGCTAGTTGCTAGTTCTAGAACTGATGATATTACCTAGTTTGGATAATGAAATATCTGCAAAAAAAAGAACCAAACTCAGAGGACATCAAGGACCCTTCAGTTCTCACTTACCATCTACAGTTGAGCCTGGCAACCCTGTTGCTAAGTGATGCGGTCATAAATGACACCTCACATAACTGCAGCTGCCTTTTGACATCAGTTCATCAGTTCCTGCATGGTCATTAAGCGAATCCCTGTGGGTTAAGCACAATGTCACATGACCTCGATTTGCAACTTCCTGTCAGCTTCCCCATTAACGTACTTGTTAGAAGCAGGCTGTGAAGTCACAAATGGCGATCGCATTACCACAGGATGTTGCAACTTTTGTAAATGTGTGCCATTTTCCAAGTGCCCAAAGTGGCTGATCTCATGAATGCAGGGACATGAAAGCTGCAACTTAAAGGCGTGGTCATAAGTCTCCATTTTTAGTGCTGTTGTAACTTTGAACCAGTCACTAAACAAGTGGTTGGAAGTGAGGATATCTGTATTCTATCTAAGGCTGCAGTATGAAACTATTCCTTGATATGGAACTCAGGAGGATTCATTTATGAGGTGCTCAGTAAGTAGAGAAAATAAGTGTTTCTATTTTCCTGTTTGCCGTCTTACTTTTGTGAGTTTATTTTGTTAGGAGTAGGCCAGATGGAACCTAATTATGTGGATAAATTTGGATTTCATGAGGTCACCTGCTATGGCAATATAACTCAGGTAAGTTCTTTGAACAAAATATATGATGTAAGATGTAGAGTGTTCATTGTAAAGCTATCATCTCTTTCTAGACTACTGAACTTAAGTTAAATTGTTTAGGTATTTTTATACCTGGCAGGTATAAGGGAGTAAGTCTTTTCTTAGTTACAATCATTTTGTTATGTGACTGGCATCTAAAGCCCAACATTATTTCTAGCATCTTAACTGACCATACAATTTTTTTTTTTTTTTTGTAAACAGAGTATAGAGTTTTTGTATTCATGTTTTGCTAAGGAACATTGTGGCTGGAATTTTGCAATTGCCACAAAAATCATATGTTCAAAGAAAGTGATCTTATGCTGTAGTTGATAAATTCATAGCATCATTTTTTCACTAGTTTTATTTTGCAGATCAATGAGTGGCAAAACGACTGGCCTACTTTTTTTATTCGACACCGCCTCCAAGCCCAAATGGATTTAATAGAAAGGGATTATGGAGACAGAAAAGCAAGAGAGTTGTGGGAACAGTTAAAGGTAGGAAGAAAATGTTAGAATATTATTACATTAAAGCAACAGAAAACATTAAGAGTACTTGCCTCTTCAGAGGCTAAAATCCAAGTGAGCATTTGTGGCTTTGTAATCAATCTACCAGCATTTATTACAGCTATAAGGTTTTCTTCCCAAGAAAAAGATCAATTTATAGTTTTATTTATCCGCTGCTCTAACATGTTTTTTTTTTCTAGCTACGATTTGATTGCTCTACAATCCTTTTTGGAGGACTTGGATATAGTTTTTATTTCCTTTCAGCCCCATTATAAAAATGAAATGTAAGAAATGAGTGTATATAAATCAGAACTGGAACTTCTTTACTGAAAGGAGAGCCCAAACTTGGTCTATCCTAAACTTTTGTGATGTTTGAGACCACACTGCCCTAAGCCATTATGTGGCTTGTTTGTGATCTTCCATATGGGTGAAATTCAGTCTTTGGAAAATGTAAAACATGATGGAATGAAGTATTATATAAAATCAGTCGGTTAGTGATGGTGTAATGCAGACATGTCGAACTTGCGACGTCACGTGATGTCACGCAATGTATCAGCACAGTTTTGCCATTGCCAGCAATGGGGTGGAGTGGCTTCCACATGACGTGTCCAGGCCGTGGGCTGGCAGTTTGACACCCCTGGTTTAATGTAACAATAGTGAAATTTTATGTTTGAATCTAGTATCAGTTTCCTTTTAGTTCTTCAACCCCTGTCTTCTTTATCTAATGATCCTATTCCATTCATAATGTGGAGCTGCATTTCCTATAACTGTACTAACTTTGACATTATTTGCATTTTTTTTTAAAAAAAATCTGATTTAATCTCTTGCACATTCTCTCTCTGCCTTTTTCTCTATCTCTGTCTCTCAATAGCCTGTGATCTAAAATCATTCTGAAATCAGGAAAAGATACTCAAAAGCAATTATAAACATTGTCCCTATTTCACCTTAGTTTAAGTCATAATGAGAAGCCCAATGTTGCCAGCAAAAGTGACACAATTTGTAACATATTCAGTTTCTAAAACTAGGATTAAAAAATAAAAAGTACTTTTATAATCCTTATGTATATTCTGATATTTGCCTTCTGGTTTCCACAGTAAATTTTTTTCTTTGCCCGATCTTTAACCTGTCTGGGTTTTTTTTTTGTTTTTTTTACAGCCAAAGGTTCCAGAAATGTTTCATGGCTTGGAAATAATTCCTGCACTTGTTCATGGTGACCTGTGGTCAGGAAATGTAGCTGAAGATGACTATGGACCAATTGTCTTTGACCCATCTTGTTTCTATGGTCATTCAGAATTTGAACTTGCAATTGCTATGATGTTTGGGGGATTTAATAGCTCTTTCTTCTCTGCATATCACAGCAAAATCCCTAAGGCTCCAGGTTTTGAGAAACGCAATGCCCTTTATAAGTTATTTAACTATATAAACCACTGGAACCATTTTGGTACAGAATTTCAGGGACCTTCTCTTAATGTAATGCAAAGCCTTTTGAAATAATTATCATGCAATGTCATTCTTATTAAGTGATTCCCTGTTTGGTACCTGCTGCTACAATGTAATGCATCAGAAACGTTACTTAAAAGATAGAAAGAGTTAAATTGGTGAGATATACATCTGCTTCCTCACAAATTCTTGTATTGGCTGTTGGGACTTATGGATAGTCAACTGGAAAAAAAACTTGTGGAAGATCATTTTCGTGCATGGTAACTGCAGCAAGATTACTATATGTACAAAGATGGAAAGTTTCTGAAATGTCCATGATGGTTAGTGAATATGATGAATTTACAGAAATGGCAAAACTTACTTGTTTGATTAGGGAGAAGACAAGTACAATTATGATTGTCTGGAAACGCTTTATGGACATTTTGCTGAAAACTGGAAAAATGTGAACTGGTGATTGATGGAGTTGATGATTAGAAAGGGAAGATATGGGAAGAAAGGAATTATGCTATAACCTTGAAGAGGAAGAAGGTAAATATTTTGTAATTGCTATTAAGAAAATTGGAAGCCAATCCTTTATACATATTCTTTTTCTTCCTTTTCATTCTTCTATCTTTTTTTATTTAGTCACTTGCTCTGATTCCTTTTTTACTCTTTATTTTGTTTACTTTTATGTTTGCTTCTACTATTGTATAAAATACTAAATTTTATACAACAAAATTTAATAAACTCACAAACTCACACATGTATTGGCCTTGTGGGTTAGTATAAACATTTAGAGCTGAAACTTATGCTATTGTTATTTAATCCTTCAAAGATTCATGCAAGGCTTATGGATAGAGGCAATGCTTCTAATATTTTAATTTTAATTCTTATTGACTCAGTGTAGTAGCCTAAAAGAAATCATGGATAATGAAATTTTACTCTTCATATCTTTTCATTTTCTCCCCATATAAGAAAAATTACAATAAAATTTTTAAAAATAGAGAATATTAGTCACTGATTTCCATACCACTTCAGGATTCATTTGACTGCTGTGCTGCATTTATATACTATATCTCATTTGAAAAAATTATTCTAAGTTCTCCTTTCCATTAGAAAATAAAGTTGCATTGTTATTTTATAACAATAGATTTTTGAGGTTTAGAATTTTTAGCATCTCCAAAAAAGCTTTACAATAGGATGTTGAAAATAACAATCTTTGAAATGTATATTAAAAATGCTTATGTGATAAATGAAATATAAATGATTTGAGAGAAAATTTATTTATAACAGTTGATGGTTTCAGAATTATGCACTAACATAGATGAACTATTTATTGAAATAAAATATTCAATATCTATGATTGTTCTTTTTTTCCCTAAAAATATCTCGTTATTACATTTCTAAGAGAGCAGGCTGGCAAAATTACTTAGTAATATTGATTCCAGTGAATTCCCAGATAAGTCTGGATAGGGTTCTTATATGTAATATTATAACACTAGCTGTCATTTTATGTCTTTTTCTTTTATCACAAGATAGATTTATGGATAAGCTTACAACATGTAATCTTTAATAATACAGAATTGAATAAGAGTTATTGTGCATATATTATGAAATCAAAAGAAAGCAAAGCCCTATTTACATCATTTGAAATTAGAGTTCTTCTAACTGTAAGTTCAGGTATGTAAATTTGGGATACTTTATCCTTGTTCAAATTTAATTGCAAGGCAAGTAAGGGGGACAGAAAAGTCCATAATCCAAATGACAAAACCTCAGAGGTTACTTAGGGCCTATAGGCTAAATTAAATTCAGTGTTTCTCAACCTTGACAATTTTAAGGCATGTGGACTTCAACTCCCAGAATTCCAGCAATGCTGGCTGTGGAATTCTGGGAGTTGAAGTCCACATGCCTTAAAATTGTCAAGGTTGAGAAACACTGGGCTAGATATTCATCACTTTCATTTTAACAGTTTATAGTAAATGGGATTGAATATGACCTCCATATAATATATACTGTAGGAATATTTAAAGAAAAAAAATGGGGAAACAAAGAATCTTCTCCCTTCTCTCAATGAATACGAAATTGGGATTTGATGGTCTCAATAACAGCTCTGCTTCGGCAGCGGGTCTATGACTCTACATTTTGTTCTTTTGACATGTTAATCTCAAGGGGAATAGGTAACAAACAAGAAACTGTTTCTTGGATTTGTAACTAATCAAGGTTTCACCTTGTATTGATCAGTAATATAGTCCTGTATTTTAAATAATTGTAGAGCAGTAGCTGAGTCTTGTAAATGAAGATGAAATGGCAGCATACAGTTTCTGTAACCCACTCAGATATAAATGTGTGGTATGATTAATGCCTCGTCAATCTGTGTATATTTTTACTTGGAAAGGCAGTTATTTGGGGGGGGAGAATTTCAGAAAAAGGTGTGTGTGGGGGAGGTTATATCCGTTACTCCTAACCTCTGGGTGCAGCAGGCGGATGTGAAGGGGAGTGAGAAGGAATTGTCTCTTTCCTGAATAGGACTATAAGATTCCGACATCAACCTAAATTGAACACTTATGACCAAATCAGTGATGAGGCTAAAATCATAATTAGACAGGTTTTTTTATCAAAAGAAATGTTAGTGCAGTATGATTTTTGTTCAAGTGTCAATGAATAGGAAAAGGAAGTTTAACATCTTCCTCCCTGATACACTTTAGATGAAGTCCTATTACTCCCCAGCACCCCCCTTTCATTAGGGTCAATACGATCCTTTTTTTCCTTCCTGAGATCAACAGCAATTACAAAGAATAGAAAATTTCCTTTTAATTTCCCTTGAAACATCCTGTTTATATCTCTCAAACTCTGGAAACCTTAATGTGAAGCTCCTAATGATTACATTCCTAAAATGGAAATTTGGAAATGTTTATCAAGCTTTATAAGCAATTTGTCGCAGATCAAATCACTATGATGTGAACTTAAAGCAATTCCCCTTACCTTTCTATTCCACAGAAATATCTAGGATAAATAAAAAAGAAATCTTCAAAGCATTGCTCTATCTTAAGAAATCTTGGTAAACAAGATTTTAAGCTCCAACAATTACTTAAATATGGCCATGTTAGATCAAAGAAAAATCCCACCACTGATTATCATCTTCTTGTACCCTCATTCTATTCCTCCTTTTGGTGGATGACCTAATCCCACTACCAGAGTCAGTAAAAGTATTTTACCAGGAAACATAGAAAGGGCAGCCTAGAAAGTAAAATACCCTCATAACGATTCAAAAGCACTCCGAATTTGTTGGCATTGTCCATTTTGCTCTATGAGTTCATGGTGACCTAACCGTAACCATAAGTGGAATTTTCCTCCCATGGGATTTTCCCATTTATTTTACCAGGGAACATTGGTAGGAGAGCCTAGAAAAGTCAGTGTCCTTCTAACCATAACAAAGAACTCCGAACTCATTGGCGATGTTCATTTTGCTCTACCAGTTCATGGTGACCTAACCCCGATGCTAAGTGGAATTTTCCTACAATATGATTTTTCCATGTATTTTACCATCATAGATAGGGCATCCTAGAAACGTCAGTTCCCTCCTAACCATAACCAAGCACTCCGAATTCATTTTTGATCTCCATTTTGCTCTATAAGTTCATGGTGACCTAACCCTAACCCTAAGTGGAATTTTCCACCAATGGGATTTTCCTTTGTATTTTACCAGGAAATATAGAAAGGGCAGACTACAAAGATCTATATCCACCTAACCATTCCAAAACACTCCAAATTTGTTGGCAATATCCATTTTGCTCTATGAATTCATAGTGACATAACCCTATCCCTAATTGGAATTTTCCTCCAAAGGGATTTTCCCATGTATTTTTCCAGGAAAAATAGATACGGCATCCTAGGAAAAGTCATTGCCCTCCTAACCATAACCAAGCACTCTGAATTCATTGGCGATGTTCATTTTGCTCTACAATTTCATGGTGACGAAACTCTAACCCTAAGTGGAATTTTAGTCTAATGAGATTTTTCCATGTATTTTACAAGGAAACATAGAAAGGGCAGCCTAAAAAGAACAATGCCCTCGTAACCATTGAAAAGAACTCCGAATTTTTTGGCATTGTCCATATTGCTCTATGAGTTCATGATGACCTAACCCTAACCCTAAGTTGAATTTTCCTTCTATAGGATTTTCCCATGTATTTTACCGGGAAACATAGATAGGGCAGCCTAGAAACGTCAGTGCCCTCCTAACCATAACCAAGCACTCCGAATTCATTGGCGATGTCCATTTTACTCTAAAAGTTCATGGTGACCTAACCCTAACCCTAAGTGGAATTTTTCTCCAATGGGATTTTCCCATGTGTTTTACCAGGAAACATACATAGGGAAGCCTAGAAAGATCTATACCCTCCTAACCATTCCGAAGCACTCCAAATTTGATGGAGATGTCCATTTTGCTCTATGAGTTCATGATGACCTAACCCTAACTCTAAGTGGAATTTTCCTCCCATGGGATTTTCCCATGTATTTTACCAGGAAACATAGAAAGGGCAGCCTAGAAAGAACAATGCCCTCCTAACCATTGAAAAGGACTCCGAATTTTTTGGCATTGTCCATATTGCTCTATGAGTTCATGATGACCTAACCCTAACCCTAAGTTGAATTTTCCTTCTATAGGATTTTCCCATGTATTTTACCAGGAAACATAGATAGCGCAGCCTAGAAACGTCAGTGCCCTCCTAACCATAACCAAGCACTCCGAATTCATTGGTGATGTCCATTTTGCTCTACAATTTCATGGTGACGAAATCCTAACCCTAAGTGTAATTTTAGTCTAAAGAGATTTTCCCATGTATTTTAACAGGAAACATAGAAAGGGCAGCCTAGAAAGTAAAATGCCCTCCTAACAATTCAAAAGCACTCCGAATTTGTTGGCATTGTCCATTTTGCTCTATGAGTTCATGGTGACATAACCGTAACCATAAGTGGAATTTTCCTCCGATGGGATTTTCCCATTTATTTTACCAGGAAACATTGGTAGGAGAGCCTAGAAAAGTCAGTGTCCTTCTAACCATAACAAAGAACTCCGAACTCATTGGCGATGTTCATTTTGCTCTACCAGTTCATGGTGACCTAACCCCGATGCTAAGTGGAATTTTCCTACAATATGATTTTTCCATGTATTTTACCATCATAGATAGGGCATCCTAGAAACGTCAGTTCCCTCCGAACCATAACCAAGCACTCCGAATTCATTTTTGATCTCCATTTTGCTCTATAAGTTCATGGTGACCTAACCCTAACCCTAAGTGGAATTTTCCACCAATGGGATTTTCCTTTGTATTTTACCAGGAAATATAGAAAGGCAGACTACAAAGATCTATATCCACCTAACCATTCCAAAACACTCCAAATTTGTTGGCAATATCCATTTTGCTCTATGAATTCATAGTGACATAACCCTATCCCTAATTGGAATTTTCCTCCAAAGGGATTTTCCCATGTATTTTTCCAGGAAAAATAGATACGGCATCCTAGAAAAGTCATTGCCCTCCTAACCATAACCAAGCACTCTGAATTCATTGGCGATGTTCATTTTGCTCTACAATTTCATGGTGACGAAACCCTAACCCTAAGTGGAATTTTAGTCTAATGAGATTTTTCCATGTATTTTACAAGGAAACATAGAAAGGGCAGCCTAAAAAGAACAATGCCCTCGTAACCATTGAAAAGAACTCCGAATTTTTTGGCATTGTCCATATTGCTCTATGAGTTCATGATGACCTAACCCTAACCCTAAGTTGAATTTTCCTTCTATAGGATTTTCCCATGTATTTTACTGGGAAACATAGATAGGGCAGCCTAGAAACGTCAGTGCCCTCCTAACCATAACCAAGCACTCCGAATTCATTGGCGATGTCCATTTTACTCTAAAAGTTCATGGTGACCTAACCCTAACCCTAAGTGGAATTTTTCTCCAATGGGATTTTCCCATGTGTTTTACCAGGAAACATACATAGGGAAGCCTAGAAAGATCTATACCCTCCTAACCATTCCGAAGCACTCCAAATTTGATGGAGATGTCCATTTTGCTCTATGAGTTCATGATGACCTAACCCTAACTCTAAGTGGAATTTTCCTCCCATGGGATTTTCCCATGTATTTTACCAGGAAACATAGAAAGGGCAGCCTAGAAAGAACAATGCCCTCCTAACCATTGAAAAGGACTCCGAATTTTTTGGCATTGTCCATATTGCTCTATGAGTTCATGATGACCTAACCCTAACCCTAAGTTGAATTTTCCTTCTATAGGATTTTCCCATGTATTTTACCAGGAAACATAGATAGCGCAGCCTAGAAACGTCAG